CTTGTTTCACTGAAAGTTACCAGCCTATATTGTTAAACTATAACCCACCTTTGTTCTCTTCCTGTAAATTCCTGGTCTGGAAAATAAACGCAGGAAGAGAACCCCAATTCAGTGTTAATTTCCCGAGGAAGGGATCCCTCTCGCTGGAGGGTTCCTGGGAAGTTAACCACTTCTGGGCTTCTCACTGCTGAGAAGAGATGGGCTTTGAGTAATCCTTTGCGTCTCCATCACCCAGGGGAAGGGGGGTGCCAAATCCGTGGGGGAGGGTGAGGCAACACAAAGCAACACCCCAGTCACCAGCGATCCCAGATCCCAGGGACCAGATCCTTCTACAAGCCATGCTGGGGCCAGAGGCTGTATGTGCAAAGCTCCACTGAACCGTCTTAACAACCTCATGAGGTAACGCCATCATCCCATTTTACAGGGGAGGAAACTGAGGCTCAGAGAGGCACTCTGCCCAGGTAAGTGGCACAGCGGATCTGAGCCAGGAGCGTGGGGCTCCAAAGTGAGCAGTGCCAGTCAGAGGAGGGTGGGAGACAGGTTGGAAGCACAGAGGGGCTGGCTTGCGAGCAGTGAAGGGGACACAGCCAACAGCAACCTTTGCCCGGGGACAAGAACAGGCTTTTCCTGCTAACTATAGTCGTGGTCTAAAGACGGGGGTGGGGGTGGGGTCCTAAGCCATAACGTGAGGCTCCTTTTGGTCATCCACAGGTGCCATCCTGTCTGCAGAGCAAAAGAGAGGCACAGCTAAATGGGACAATCCTGGGCTCCAGTAACAGCTTCACCACTGACTAGCAAAGGACTTCCCGTGTCGGAGGCTTGGTTTCACCGGTAAAGCGGGGATAATAACAGCGGTGCCCAGCCGTTGGGAGGGTGAGGGAGATAAAACAGGCACCGGCTCGGTGTCTGGCACCCAGGAGGCCCCAGCTGGGATGAACTGCGCCCCCAGGTTTGGGGAGCGGTTTGACTAACTCTTCGTTGGTCTCAGGCCGCAAGGCAGAGGGACACTCACTGGGGCCACTAGCGAGGCCACGCTACAGGCCAGGCCGGTGAGGAGGCGNGGGTGAGGGAGATAAAACAGGCACCGGCTCGGTGTCTGGCACCCAGGAGGCCCCAGCTGGGATGAACTGCGCCCCCAGGTTTGGGGAGCGGTTTGACTAACTCTTCGTTGGTCTCAGGCCGCAAGGCAGAGGGACACTCACTGGGGCCACTAGCGAGGCCACGCCACAGGCCAGGCCGGTGAGGAGGCGGCCCTCGAGCAGCATCCAGACGTCCCGGGCCGCGGTGATGACAGCAAAGCCGGCCACGAAGGGCAGGGTGCAGAGCAGGAGGGTCAGCTTGCGCCCGGCGCGGTCCACCAGCCAGCCCCCCAGCACGCCCCCGGCCGCGGCGCCCAGGGTCACGACAGTTTTCTATTCCAGGCTGAGAAGCAAGAAATTTAAGGGGAAAGAAGATGATAGGAACACACATACAAGCTCAGAGAGCTTACACATTAGTACAACATGAAACACCAGCCAGATCCAACTAAGACAAGATACTCAGCACGATTCTGTGAGACAGACACGGGAAGCGAGCAAGGGCTCACGAGTCAAAGAACTCTCAGGTTTAAATCAGTGCACCTTCCTAGCCTCAGTTTCCTTGTTTGAAAAGCAATAATAAGGGCCGAGCCTGTGGCGCACTCGGGAGAGTGCAGCGCTGGGAGCGCAGCAGCGCTCCCGCCGCGGGTTCGGATCCTATGTGGGGATGACCGGTGCACTCACAGCGCTCACTGGCTGAGCGTGGTGCGGCCGGTCTCAAAAAGGACAAAAAAAAAAAAAAGAAAGAAAAGCAATAATAATAAAACCTACTTGACAAAACTGTTAGTGGAGTCGAAATACAGTAATTGATCTTGTATTTTTCCCCTACATAAAAAAAGGGTATATAGCGGGGGCCGGCCCGTGGCTCACTTGGGAGAGTGCGGTGCTGACAACACCAAGGCCATGGGTTCAGATCCCTATATAGGGATGGCCGGTTTGGTCACTTGGGAGAGCGTGGTGCTGACAACACCAAGTTAAGATCCCCTTACCGGTAATCCTTTGGAAAAAAAAAAGGGGGGGGCATATAGCAAAACAGAGGGAGAATAGGAATGATAATGCCACAAAGAATATGAGAAAACAGACTTGTGACAGCTCCACGTGGATGCACCTGAAAAGCATGGTCCGACATGGGAACTTAGTATCTTTAAAACTCCTCAGGTGATTCTAGTGTAACCAGGGTTAAAAACCCCTGCTAACCACATATTCCCTTATGAGAGGATAAGTAAGGGACTGTGCCCCATTGTGGCTGTGAGCCTATGGATAGACTTCACCCCCAGCCCCAATTTCCCTATTTTCATAGAGGTGATAGCTGTGCTTTGATTGGGTAGGTAGCATAAGGTGCTTCAAAGGAAGCTTTGGGGTATTGCAAAGTGCACACTACTGGACAGGTGTTAAGGGTGTGGTCCAATTTCAGGCACAAGGTAATTATGTCTCTATATTTCTACAGTCTCCAAAAAAGGTTGGTGATGACATCGCCAAGGCAACCGGTGACTGGAAAGGTCTGAGGATTACAGTGAAATTGACCATTCAGAACAGACAGGACCAGGTATTGATTTCTGGCGCTTGGTTTGTGGGAGTATAGAGGTAACCAACCCTCTGGGATTCCTGGATAGGTTTCTTTGCTGCCAGTGGTGAGCTGTGAGCAGTGTTATCTTTGTGGGAAGGCTTTGTCAAGACCATAAACCTAGCTAGGGAAGACTTGGGTCCAAATATTAACTCATCACTTATGTAACATTTGGTAAACTACTTAACATGATGTATCCTAGGAACATGTTTTCAGATTGTGAAAATTACTTGAGCACATACAGTAAGCCCAGTGTCTGGCTGTCTGGTCTCTGAGAGCCAGTGTGCATGGCATTAGTGGTCCTCCTGCAGTGGTGGTATTGATGTTGACATCAAGAATTTCTTCTGCAGATTGAGGTGGTACCTTCTGCCTCTGCCTTGATCATCAAAGCCCTCAAGGAACCACCAAGAGATAGAAAGAAACAAAAAAACAGTGAGTTGGCCATTTTCTCGGATTTCTTTTACCTAGTGGTTTGTGATTGATGTTGTATGCCCAGTGGCTGTGTGTTTTCCCTTTAATGAAACAAGGGGTTGGCATAGGGATTGGTTGGTGATTTGGTTAATGCTATTAGACCAGGCACTGCCATGTGCTTTCCCCAGTTCCTGTGTGGGGCAGGTCTCACTGGCAGTGCATGTAGGAGGGAAAAGTCAGTAGACAGGGGAAGTAACGGAGAACAGTGAAGTGTACTCAGGAGACCAGTCACAGCTGCCAATACACTGGGCAGCTTAACTAAGCCCAGTAACGTGAGCTCATTTCTCATCTTTAAAACATAACATCCCTTCCATGTCAGATAAAGATTTTGTTTCGCCCTTAGCCACCCGCCACTGCACCTGACCAGTTTTCTATTGGCTGGGGCAATCCAGTGGTGAGCTGACACTAACCCCAGCTTAGGAAACAGGGTTGTCCTTCATGTGGATGATTCTGTGCCAAAACCATGGGAACAACCTAGACACTGGTGAAGGGGAACATTATGAGGGCTGCTCTGGCCACAGATTGTAACAAAGTTTTGGCTGTTCAGTGGTGAGCTGTGAGCACTGTGATCTTGGTGGGAAGGCTTTGTCAGGAGCATAAACCTAGCTAGGGAAGACATGGGTACAAATATTAACTCTTAGGGCCAGTCCGTGGCTCACTTGGGAGAGTGTGGTGTTGATAACACCAAGGCCGTGGGTTCTGATCCCTACATAGGGAGGGCTGGTAAGCTCACTGGGTGAGTGTGATGCTGACAAGACCAAATCAAGGGTTAAGATCCCCTTACCAGTCATCATTTAAAAAATAAAAAAATGAAAAAACAAAACAAAACAAAACAAATATTAACTCATCACTTATGTAACATTTGGTAAACTACTTAACATGACATATCCTAGGAACTTGTGTTCAGATTGTGAAAATTACTTGAGCACATACAGTAAGCCCAGTGTCTGGCTGTCTGGTCTCTGAGAGCCAGTGTGCATGGCATTAGTGGTCCTCCTGCAGTGGTGGTATTGATGTTGACATCAAGAATTTCTTCTGCAGATTGAGGTGGTACCTTCTGCCTCTGCCTTGATCATCAAAGCCCTCAAGGAACCACCAAGAGATAGAAAGAAACAAAAAAACAGTGAGTTGGCCATTTTCTCGGATTTCTTTTACCTAGTGGTTTGTGATTGATGTTGTATGCCCAGTGGCTGTGTGTTTTCCCTTTAATGAAACAAGGGGTTGGCATAGGGATTGGTTGGTGATTTGGTTAATGCTATTAGACCAGGCACTGCCATGTGCTTTCCCCAGTTCCTGTGTGGGGCAGGTCTCACTGGCAGTGCATGTAGGAGGGAAAAGTCAGTAGACAGGGGAAGTAACGGAGAACAGTGAAGTGTACTCAGGAGACCAGTCACAGCTGCCAATACACTGGGCTGCTTAACTAAGCCCAGTAACGTGAGCTCGTTTCTCATCTTTAAAACATAACATGCCTTCCATGTCAGATAAAGATTTTGTTTTGCCCTTAGCCACCCGCCACTGCACCTGACCAGTTTTCTGTTGGCTGGTGCAATCCAGTGGTGAGCTGACACTAACCCCAGCTTAGGAAACAGGGTTGTCCTTCATGTGGATGATTCTGTGCCAAAACCATGGGAACAACCTAGACACTGGTGAAGGGGAACATTATGAGGGCTGCTCTGCCCTCAGATGGTAACAAAGCTTTTGCTGTCATTTTTTCCCCACCTGCAGTTAAACACAATGGAAATTTCACATTTGATGAGATCATCAATATTGCCCGACAGATGCGGCACAGATCTTTAGCCAGAGAACTCTCTGGTAAGAGCAGGACAACATGCAAAAACAGAAATTTCAGATATTTTCACTGAGTGGTTAACGTTCTTCTCACTGAAATGGGAGTCAGTAAGACCCAAAACTGGGAGTGCTGCAGTACTTTCTGGATTTGAAAGAATGAGATCTTGAGCTGGATGTGTTTAATCTAGGCAGCAGGGGATCCATGTGGACTTTGAATTCATGGTTTATGTAACTAGATGGAACTCTTAAGTTTTTAATTTTAAAGCAGCAGGAATTTTCATTTTTTGCCTGCTGTGAAATTCAGAAGTATCTGCCCCCATATCTGAGGATTGTGAGGGGCTGCGAGCTGCTCTGATGCCACCTTTTAATTACAGGAACCATTAAAGAGATCCTGGGGACTGCCCAGTCTGTGGGCTGCAATGTTGATGGCCGCCACCCTCGTGACATCATAGATGACATCAACAGTGGTGCAGTGGAATGCCCAGCTGTGACTTCTGCATCAGTGTCATTTGGTTATAATAGGGGTGAAAGCTAGGGGAGGAGCAGCTAATGTGTTCATGGAGATAAGTTGGAAAGTTCTAGAAATGGGTAGGGTTGGGAGATAATCTTTTTTTTAAACTCCTTTTACTGATAGAGCTTTTTTCTTTCCTGCAGAGTTAAGAAGTACAAAGGAAAGTATTTTAATGAAGGGTCCTTCGACTATGCGTGGCCTTTTCTGTGTGGCAGCTTCCTTGAGGGGGAGTTAGGTCCTTTGTGTGGGTGTGTGGGGGGGTGGCATCAGTGGCAAAACCTGTGAAGTAACAGTCTGGGTAATACGTTCTTGTGGGTAACAGATTCTGCCCTGAATGGGATAAACTCAGAAAAGATGCCCAGAAAGGAACACACTGTAGACACTTTATGGATCTCTTCCTAGGAAAAATGTTATTGGCCAGAAAGAAAACCTGTAGTTCAGCACGAACACGGGGAAAATAGCTCTCCATCTCAGATGAATTTCATCTACAGCGGGGAGGCTGACATTCAAAATAAGTGATGTATCAAAGCAACCTGACGATTATTACCCTTTGATACTGATCCCTAGGTCATGTGAAAGTGAGACGCAGGTCTGCTGCAGGAACTAGCCTACTACCCCTGTTAACAAATTTACAGGTTTTTTCTAGACTTACTTTATCACAGTAGACTATTTTCTAACGTATCTGTCACCTGTTTCCCAAATCTCTCAACTTCTTCTGGCCACCATTCTAGCGCCTGTACTTATCAGTCCCTTTCACTTTTTGATGACCCTCAAGACACTTTGGTATTGTGAGACTACAGCTCAGCAGCCTGAAACACTACCTGGAAGGGCTTGTGGGTACCAGACTAAAAGGAGGTGGAAATGATTGCCTTAAGAACTTGATTTCCCCAACAGTTGTCATTTCATTGCTTCATTAACTTATGCAAATGGACCTTTTTAGGCAGTGGTTTTAATCACATCAGGTTGGAAGGGACTACCTGAACTCCACAGTGAGTAGGAGAAACATTCCAGTGCCCTACAAGGCACAGGGACCAAGGAAACCAAGCTAAGGCAGCTTCCCTTACACTGAAGGCCACTCATTGGGAGCCTGTCTCCGATATTCAGTGGTTGACTAGCCAAAACCCTGAGATGAGACCACATCAGCTGGGTGTGAGAACAGTGGTTAAACTACAAGGATGGAGAGGAAGCGGCCTGTCGTGAAAATCTGCATCTCCTAAAGGAAATGTACTTTCCGTCAGGAATAATTTGAATTAGGTGCCATCTCTGACCTGCCTCCAAGCCAAGCATGGCTGTCTCAGATCTTGCCGCTCTAGTGGCCCTTCCTGTTGAGGCCTCCATAGAATGGGATGTTCCTCTTGCTGACGGACTTCATTAGCAGCATCCTCTATTCTCAGTCCCACTATTCTCTGGGTCTGCTTTCTCTGCAACAGTTCGCAAGTGGAGATCACACCTAACGGTGCTTTTGTGAATTTTCCTGTCTTTCCAGCATTAACAAGTATTTCATCCCCAAGGAGATTCCAGGACTTAACTGTTAGCCCTAGAATCCTTTTCACCTGCATTTACTCCCCCAAACTGGATACCTTAATATTTCTCAACTAGTCATTTCTCGCCAATGCTCTTCATTCTTTTTTTTTTTTACGTGTCCGGCAATGGATCGCAACCCTCAGTGTCGCGCCCGCACTGGACCGGGACCGGCAACGGGATCGCAACCCTCGGTGTCACGCCCGCACCTCACTCAGCCAGTGAGCGGAACCGGTCTGTATGTGGGATCCGAACCCTCGGCGGGAGCGCCACCGCACTCTCAAGCGGCGCACTGTAGCAGTGCGCCACCGGGCCGGCCCCGAATGCTCTTCATTCTTTTGCAGTAGTTCTCATTACTTCAGGGAGAAATTACAACACTGGGAAAAATACCTGATCTTCATGTAAAGAACCAAGTTCTTCACTGATTGATCTAATCACTTATTCCTAATAAATCAAGGCTTTTGGAGTGCTTGGCACATAAAGTGCTCTGGCCCACTGTCTGGATAAAGGTAAATCTCTAAAACTGAGTGAAATTTGAGTTGACGGTTGGACTCTGTACATTCTTTGATGCTAACTGAATGAAAATGTTAGAGAGCTCTTGGGAGCCAGCCCGTGGCTCACTTGGAAGAGTGTGGTGCTGATACCACCAGGGCCGTGGGTTCAGATCCCTATGTAGGGATGGCCGGTTGGCTAACTTGGGAGAGTGTGGTGCTGACAACACCACATCAAGGATTAAGATCCCCTTACCGGTCATCTTAAAAAAAAAAAAAAGGCTCTTGATCTTCCCCATGCAAGATGTAAAATAGTGACCAAGTATTTATTAAAGGTATTTTTACATGTAGCTGTGCACGACAGACTATGAAAGTGAAACATCCCTAGATGCTTTCAAGCCCTCAGCATTTCTCTGACAGCCCCACCCATCTGCCCTGTCTTAGATGTTGAGTTATGACTTGGCACGTCTGGGGCTTTCTCCACCTACTGTGTTCCCAGCTATTCTCTAGCATGGAGTCTCTGATGTCTAATGAAAGCTGACCTACACCTGAAGGCCTTTCCACACTCGCTGCATTCATAGGGTTTCAAACCAGTGTGAATCCTCTGATGCTGACTAAGGGATGAACTCTGGTTAAAAGCTTTTCCACACTCCTTACACTCGTAGGGCTTTTCTCCAGTGTGAATTATGTGATGTCGAATAAGGGCTGAGCTCTCACTGAAGAATTTCCCACATTCATTACATTTGTGTGGCTTCTCCCCAGTGTGGGTCTTTTGGTGGATTATAAGATTTGTACTCTGGCTGAAGGCCTTCCCACACTGACTGCACTTGTAGGGTTTCTCTCCGGTATGAGTCCTCTGATGGTTTGTGAGGTTTGAACTCTGACGGAAGGCCTTCCCACAGTCACTGCATTCATAGGGTTTCTCTCCAGTATGAATTCGCTGATGCTGAACAAGGGCTGAAGAGTCGCTGAAGGCTTTGTCACACTCACTACATTTGTAGGGCTTTTCTCCAGTGTGCGTTCGCTGGTGTTTTGTAAGGTTTGCGTTCTGGCTGAAGGCCTTCCCACACTCACTGCACTTGTAGGGCTTCTCCCCAGTGTGAGTCCGCTGGTGGTTTGTGAGGTTTGCACTGTCACGGAAGGCCTTCCCACAGGCGCTGCATTCATAGGGTTTCTCTCCACTATGAATTCGCTGATGCTGAACAAGGCCTGAAGAATCGCTAAAGGCTTTGTCACACTCACTACATTTGTAGGGCTTTTCTCCAGTGTGGGTTCGCTGGTGTTTTGTGAGGTTTGCGTTCTGGCTGAAGGCTCTTCCACATTCACTGCATTTGTAAGGCTTCTCTCCGGTGTGGATCCTCTGGTGCTGAACAAGAGATGAGCTCTGGCTGAAGGCCTTCCCACACTCACTGCACTCATAGGGTTTCTCCCCAGTGTGCCTCTTCTGCTGCTGAGAAAGGGACAAACAGTGGGTGAAGTCTTTACCAAACTGATTACATGTGTATGGTCTCACTCTGTGAGGCTTAATTATCTGTGAATTCTTAAATCTCTTAGAGTGTGTTTCACATTCATCAGGACTCACATCTTTAGGAACTCTCTGCTGTAGTGAAAGGACTGGTCTCAGACTGAAGCTCTTCCCAAGTTCACCCTTTCTGTGCTCTGACTCCCCAGGGGCCATCTCTATACTCGGGTCTGCAAATCGTTCTTCAGAAATGGCTTGCTGGGGTGGTGACTGAGATAAAATCTTCCAGTCTGAAAAAGAGTTAGGAAAGCAATAATCCTGTATACCCTTGGTGGAAGAAATGCTGTAAGAGTTTGGCCAAGCTCTTACACAGTTTCACCTCTTTCACCAGAACATTTCTATTCTAAATCACAAAGCTTAGAGCCAAGGTGGTTTAGACCAAGACGGTTTTTCAGAGACATTCAGGTGTTAGCTGCCCTATTTCTGAGAGGAGAGAGGAGCAGGGTTAGTTCTAGGTACTCCTTCTTTTAATTTCATACAGAATCTGGACACAGACTGGTTGGAGTAATGTCTTGGCTCACCTCTCATTAGCTGTGTGACTTTGGGCAAATTCTGTAATCTCTCTGTTCCTTTGATTTATCATCTGTGAAAGCAGCTCCCTTTCCGAATTACTGAAGGCATTAAATGAGTAAAGACACATAAAGGACCCAGAATGGTCCTAAGCATTAAAAGCAGGTTTCCCTCTAAATTGCATGATGACCAATCTACTGAGAGCACATAGGTCCTCCTTTCAGATTGAGGGTGTCCCTATGTAACCTGGTATTCAAACAGATGGGTTTGACAGCTCTTAAAAACAGACCATCTAGCTAAGAAAAAAAAGGAAAGGAGAGGAAAAGTGACAAGAAAAACAGTGGGAGAAAGAGGCAATTCAGAAGCCCAAGTGACCATCACGAATTCCCATCTCTCAGCCCACATCTCCCCTGAGTGTAATGCCCAAAACAGAGCCCCTGACTATCCCTTGCAAGCCAGCATCTTTCTCAGTCTTCCCATTTGCCCACCTTTAAAATACTAGGGTCAGCCTTAATGTTCCTTTTCCCTACACAACAAATGCAATCCACTAGTGAGTCCTGTTGGCTTTAACACCAAAATTATATCCTGAGTCCCTCTTCTTAGCAAGCCACCATCATCTCTCACTGGAATGTCTGCAACAGCCGCCGCCTACCTGCTTCTATTTCTGACTCCTCAAAGTCTCCACGACAATACTCCATACATCTGCTGAATTCTTTTAAACATAAATATCGTTCCTTCCCTGCTTCAAACTCTCCAATGGGTTCTCATTGTCCTAGTTCTAATACAATCCAAATGCCTACCATGGCCATAATCCCCCACATGATCTGCCCCATGCATACCCCTCTCCATCTTGTTTATTATGCTCGGTCCACACAGGTCTTCTGATCCTAAAATAATCCAAGCTCACTCCCACATCAAGGCATCAGCACATTCTGTGGACTAGAATGTAGCCGGCTCATTCCCTACCTTCAGATCCCAGCTCCAATGTCACCTCCTCAAACAGATTGTTCCTCTTCATCTGATCTCAAGCAGCTCCCTAACTTCATTTCTGTTCCCTTACTCAGCTTCGTTCTCCCAGCCCCTAACCCTGCTTTATTTTCTTCAGAGCACTTATCACTTAAAACTATATGTTCACTCATTTTATTTATGTTCTTCACTAAGACATGAGATGTAAGCAGGGACTATGTCTTGTCTCTGTTAGCTACTCCTAGTAGCTAAAACGACGCCAGGCGTGTACCAAATGATTTAATGCACATTTGTTGACTTATGAGTAATTCAATGAATGATAATAAGCAAAACTGACTAACAGGGTCAGGGGAACGTCAGCATCCATCACAATAGTCCCCAAAGAGAGCAACAAGGTGAAAGGCACTTTACACGCCTGGGTCTGTCACTTGGGAGGTGTAGGGTGGAATAATGGAGGGCCTGAGCCCAGCTCACGGAGGCACAGTGATGCCCAGGACACACTGCAGGTCTCAGAGCAGAGGTGTCATTCCACGGAGGCGGTATTTAGTTACTGTAACAGCCAGAGTGAAAACCTGTCCCAAACTACTTCCGTTCACTATCATGTGGCTCATATAACTCTATGGTTGACAACATTTAAAAATATCTTTTACTTTGTAAAATAAGCAAGAAAGGTTTTTTTTTTTTTTTTTTTTTTTTTTTTTTTTTTTTTTTTTTTTNACCAATCTACTGAGAGCACATAGGTCCTCCTTTCAGATTGAGGGTGTCCCTATGTAACCTGGTATTCAATCATAGATGGGTTTGACAGCTCTTAAAAACAGACCATCTAGCTAAGAAAAAAAAGGAAAGGAGAGGAAAAGTGGCAAGAAAAACAGTGGGAGAAAGGGGCAATTCAGAAGCCCAAGTGACCACCACGTATTCCCATCTCTTAGCCCACATCTCCCCTGAGTGTTATGCCGAAAACAGAACCCCTGATTTTCCCTTGCAAGCCAGCATCTTTCTCAGTCTTCCCATTCGCCCACCTGTAAAACACGAGGGTCAGCCTTAATGTTCCTTTTCCCTGCACACCAAATGCAATCCACTAGTGAGTCCTGTTGGCTTTAACACCAAAATTATATCCTGAGTCCCTCTTCTTAGCAAGCCACCATCATCTCTCACTGGAATGTCTGCAACAGCTGCCGCCTACCTGCTTCTATTTCTGACTCCTCAAAGTCCACGAGAATACTCCATACATCTGCCGAATTCTTTTTAAACATAAATATCGTTCCTTCCCTGCTTCAAACTGTCCAATGGGTTCTCATCCAAATGCCTACCATGGCCATAATTCCCCACATGATCTGCCCCCATGCATACCCCTCTCCATCTTGTTTATTAAGTTCTGTCCACACAGGTCTTCTGATCCTAAAACAAGCCAAGCTCACTCCCACATCAAGGTGTCAGCACATGCTCTGGCCCAGAATGTAGCTGGCTCATTCTCTACCTTCAGATCCCAGCTCCAATGTCACCTCCTCAAACAGGTTGTTCCTCTTCATCTGATCTCAAGCAGCTCCCTAAGTTCATTTCTGTTCCCTTACTCAGCTTCGTTCCCCCAGCCCCTAACCCTGCTTTATTTTCTTCACAGCAGTTATAACTTAAAACTATATGTTCAATCATGTTATTTATTTTCTTCACTAAGACATGAGAGGTAAGCAGGGACTATGTCTTGTTCTCTGTTAGCTACTCATAGTAGCTAAAACGACGCCAGGCGTGTACCAAATGCTTTAATGCACATTTGTTGACTTATGAGTAATTCAATGAATGATAATAATCAAAACTGAGAAATGGGGTCGTGGAAACGTCAGCATCCATCACAATAGTCCCCAAAGAGAGCAACAAGGTGAAAGGCACTTTACACGCCTGGGTCTGTCACTTGGGAGGTGTAGGGTGGAATAATGGAGGGCCTGAGCCCAGCTCACGGAGGCACAGTGATGCCCAGGACGCACTGCAGGTCTCAGAGCAGAGGTGTCATTCCACGGAGACGGTATTTAGTTACTGTAACAGCCAGAGTGAAAACCTGTCCCAAACTACTTCTGTTCACTATCATGTGGCTCATATAACTCTATGGTTGACAACATTTAAAAACATGTATTACTTTGTAAAATAAGCAAGAAAGATTTTATTACACACATTCTTCATACATACGGAAACGTGACTACATAACTCAGCGGTTTCCATGGATCCATGTGGTTAATGGATAGTAAGGCAGGACTGAGTGCATCTTTCAGGCACACATCCAAAGCTGATCGTACTGCCCTGAACTACTGCCTCAGAGCACACACGCCTGGTGGTAAACCACCTTGCCAACTTCTGTTTCTGATAACATGGTGATTTGAATCTTTTGGGGTAACCGTGGTGGGTTTGATAGTATCCTCTCGAAAATTCATGTCCACCTGGAACTTCAGAATGTGACCTTATTTGGAAATAAGATCTTTGTAGATGCAATCAAGTGGAGCCCATAGGGTTGAGAGTATACCTTGTAAAAAGAGGGAAATGTAGACACAGAGGAGAATGTTAAGTGACAACAGAGCAGAGATTGGAGTGATGCATCTAAAAGCCTGGGAACACTGAGGATTGCTGACAGCCACCCGAAGCTAGAAAGAGACATGGAAGGGTCCTCCCGCAGAGGCTTATCATGGACGTTGGGTGTCTTGTCCCCCAAGAGCTTGTGTGGAAATCTGACCCCCAATGTGGCCGTGTTGAGAGCCTGTTGAGTCATAGGTGGTGGATCCCTCACACAAAGATGAATACCCTCCCTGGGGGTAGGTAGTGAGTGAGTTCTCACTCTTATTATTTCCTGCAAGAGCTGGGTGTTTAAAAGGACCCTGGCCCCTCCGTCTCTCTTGCTTTGTCAACCATGCCCCACCATTTTCCACCATAAGGAGAAGCAGCCTGAGGCCTGCACCACACGCAGCTCTCCCAGAATCGTGAAACAAATAAACCGCTTTTATTTATGAATTACCTGTTTTCAGGTATTGTAGCAACACAAAAATGCACTAAGACGGCTTCAAAGGTACCACAATCCTGCTGACACCTCAGTTTCATTATGATCTTGAACCCCTGTGAGACTGTGATGAACACGTTTCCCAGAAAAATGCAATTGTTCCCTTAGAAAACACTGCACCCAATTTCTGAAGTTCCACACAGGGTCTTTGAATTCAGGTGAAAAGGTTCTACGTGACAAATATGGGTGGGCTGGGAAGGAGGGCTCTTGGGAGAATGCAGCAGCAGGACTAGTGAGACTCCTTGTAAAGGGCAACGTTAGCAAGTATGAGTGGTGCCGGGCTCGAACGAGCGCCAAGGTAACGTGACAGTAAGAAGAGACAGTTTCGAGGAAGTATACACAAAATAGGCCAGAGACTTTGTTCCCATTGCCTTTTCAGGAACAATATTTTCTAACTAAAGAAATAAAGCAACAAATAAAGAAACAGGTTACAGTTTTCTAAAAAATGTGAAATGGGGGCTGCTGGCTTGCTTAATTGGTTAAGAGTTTGGTGTTGGTAATACCAAGGACAAGGGTTCAAATCCCTGGGCCACCAGCTGCCAAAAAACAAAACAAACAGTAAAATGCTCTTACCCTAAAGTGGTTGAATTCATTTCCACTTTTGATGCTTTAAGTCTCCAACATCGAAAGTGACTGGATCCCCAGCTAGTGAGGCCTGCAGAGGTCCCACAAGAGCAGTGGCTGAGACACAAAGGCAGGAGGGAGCAGCCTTAGATGGGCAGCAAGAGAGACCAGAAGCTATGGTTTCCCTTCCTTCCATTTTTCCTTTGTTAGTATCAGCCCTTTAGAAAATTCTGGCATGGCCACAAAGAGGTGAAAGAGGGAGCAGATTCCAATTAAGGGCCAAATGTGGCGGTAGAAGGAGCTATCACAGCTGATAGTGTGGGTAAGGTCGGGCACCTAAGATCCTCAGTGAGGTGAACCCCAAGCAGGGAATGTGTCAGGCCAGCAAAGATGACTCTCATTCCCCATCAGTAAGGAAGGATACTCGTCCACTGGCCCATAACATCTCACATGCCCCAGACATCTCCTAGCCCTATGAGACTTTGTGAGGAGGAGGTGAGGAATAGTGAGATTTGGAGTTAGACAGACCTTGCTTCAAATCCCATCCTCACCACTTTCTAGCTGTGAGACTTTGAACCATTCAATTAATGTCACTCAGCTTAATTTCCTCATGTGTAAAATGGGGATAATAATATCTGCCTCACAGGGTTGTTACAAACTGTGTTTTATTTTTTTATTATTATTATTTTTTTTGGTCCTTTTGAGACCGGCCGTACCGCGCTCGGCCAGGGAGCGCTGTGAGCGCACTGGTCATCCCTATATAAGATAGGGACCCGCGGCGGGAGCGCTGCTGCCCTTCCCAGCGCTGCACTCTCCCGAGTGCGCCACAGGCTCGGCCCACAAACTGTGTTTTAAAGGGGCTTTTGCTCCCAAGACCTTCCCTGGCTTAGTGCTTGTCCA